CAAGCTCCACTGACAGAAACCCATCAGCAGGTATTTTTGGTGGGATCCAAGCCATAGATGGCAAGTGCCTAGTTCCAATAGAGCAATTCCTAACTCCTTGTAAGGGATTTGGTTGGGGACCCTCCGTTCAAGAATGTTATAAACATGATTGGTGTGCTAGTTTCATCCCTCTTCTGTTGACGTCTTCACTGGCCTCCTGGCCTGTGTACAAGTGTGATCTTCCGATTCATTTCTCTTTACTTAACTTGAAGAATCTCCCAAAGATGAAACCAAAGAGTCTTTGTAGAAAAGTCAGTCCACACTTGTCCTGAGTGACTGCTACTGTTCCACTTCTCTGAATTATCTTGATATGTATGAATCCACACGGTACAAAGCCACTAGCCACACAGTCTAAATCATTTTTGCCAGTAACCTGAAGGTGGAATTATCATGCAAAGCACATGAGGCTGCAGCCCAAAATGGCAGCCCCTTGTCACCTTCCTCTTACTCCTCCCCATTCTGAAAGTGTATTAATGCAGGCATGAAACAAGACACCATCACTTTCTGCTTTACTCTACCACAGCTCCATATCACTGGCTGCCACTAGGTGCAACAGGCAAATGCATGACAGAGCCAGATTTTTTCATTATTGGATGGGTCCCTCCAACACATAATAACTACCACTGATTTGTTGGAGCTGTTATATCTACAAGCCAAAAGTCACATTCCTCAAGGATATCAGAAAGAATATATTCCAGGCTGGAGCGATCAGAGTCAGAGCCTGTATCAAAATTTCCTTGACAGCAAAGACCCAGAAGTAGTACGTGAACTCTACATATTTATTTATTTTTCTGATTTATACCCTGCCCTACCCCACCAAGGCAGGTTCTACACTGTGTGTAGATAAAAATGGACCAAAGCAACTGTGAATTTGGATTTCAGGCATTCCAGTAAGGAAGCCTGGAGCCTGTTGAAAAAATTAGGTGCAAGCCCTCCTGTGCTCCAAGGAAATCCGGCGATAACATCAAACTAGGTAGCTATCCGACTGGTATCCCTATCCAGAGCTCTTAAGGATTGAGATTTTACAATCAAGATAAAAAAAATAACTCCAGATTTGAAACACTCCTGTCCTGAAGACTGTGAGCTGTCAAGGAATTTCAGTGCTGATGAGATTTCCAAGCCACAGAAGGACATCAAGAGCAGAAAGGCATCAGGCTTTGACTGCATCCATAATGAGTTCCTGATCAACAGTGGCATGTTCACTAAGAAGTGGCTTGCAAAGTTTCTCACTGACATCATGAGAACAGGAAGACTCCCAGGGGAATTCAAGAAAGCAAAGATAGTTGCTATTCTGAAACCTGGAAAACCAAAACATCTGACAGAAAGTTACAGACCTATTTCCCTTCTGAGCTCCTGTTATAAACTCCTTGAGATGCTAATCCTGAACAGAATCAGTGACAGAATTAACGAACATGTTCCTATAGAGCAAGAAGATCCCATCGTAGTTGTGAAGACCAGGTTCTCAGCTTAAAAACTTTCACTGAGGCAGGGTATCATAAGACATCAGCAGTTTTCATCGATCTGACTGCCGCTTATGACACAGTCTGGATGGAGGGATGGTCTGCCGTACAAGTTTTTACAAGTTTTCCCTTGCAGAACATTATTTCGACTCCTAAATAACATGCTGAGCAATAGAACTTTCCAAGAAATTATGGGTCAGTCAATCAGCAAGCAGAAGAAACTGAATAATGGTCTACCCCAGGGCTCGGTCCTCACTCCAGTTCTTTTCAATCTATACATCTCTGATGTTCCCAAGATGATATCCAGGAAGTTTGCTTATGCTGATGACATGGTGATTGCAGTAAGGCACAAATCAATTAAAAGGACTGGGGAACCACTGACTAGGGACCTCAAAATTTTGGCTGACCACTACCAGTATCATAAATGACATCTCAATAACAATCTTGCCAACCGTGAACTAAATGTCTACTTTAATGGCAACCAACTTACACACAACCATAAACCTAAGTACCTTGGCATTACCCTGGACAGGACCATGAGCTATAAACACCATCTTACCAATGTGGCAGCAAAAGTACGCATGCAAAACAACATTCTCCAAAAATTATATGCTACAACTTGGAGTGCGTCTGCTTGGGGGTTGGTATATAGTACAATGGAATATGGTGCTCCAGTGTGGCTCAACAGCCCACATGTCCTCAAACTTGATGTTAACTCAATGCAACAATGAGAACCATCAGTGGATGTATTAAACCCACTCTGACCTATTAGCTACCCATGTTGTGCCACACTGCTCCCCCGCATCTCCAAATACAAGATGCTCTTCTTCATAAATATAGTAAGACCACTGAAAACAGAGAGCTGCCCATCCACAAAGACATGGCTGATGTGGGCTTCTCCAGACTAAGAGCCCTACACCCAGCAAAAAGATCTGCACAAATCCTGCAATCACAAAATTTCGATCTCGGGAATGAATGGTTGCAAACATGGATGCAATCAGTTCTACCCAATACCCATAACCTGATAAACACCAACAACAGGCCTGCAAAATTTGACCTGCCACATAAAGCATGGAAGACGGCTAATAGAACACGCTTTGGCAGTTGTGCAGACCTGTTGTTTAAATGGGGCAAAATACAAGGACCCAAATGCAATTGTGGTGCAGCCCACCAAACTATTTTCCATCTGTCACAGGAATGTGAGCATTGTGCTTTCCAGGGTGGTGTGATGAGCTCTTTGGACTCTCCCCAGCTGTGATTGAGCAGACTGAAAATTTAGATATTAGTATTGTGGGGAAATTGCCCAATTGGTTTGCATACCCGTTGTATCAACTTGGTTATGTGTTTTATATTATTATATGCTTCCTGTGTTTAACTAAGCTATGCTATACAATAAATAAATAAATCATTAATAATCATTAATGTACATTACAGAGATGTAAAGAAGAACATGAGCTTGTTGTTTTTGGCAGCTAGCCCCTATTCTCCATTACATCTAATCCACTTTAGGATGATCCACATAATAATTGTATGTTTTCCCCTTTGTCTTATCGACTCAAAAGAAAACTAGTGACTTCCAAAGCTATGCCTAAGACTGCAACAAACCACTACTGAAGAACACATGGCTTAATATCTCTTGATTCCACCGCAATGTTTAAAGGATCCAAGAACACAGGTTTTAAAAAGAGACTGTCTAGTACAATAACAGAAGTTGCTGCCATAACAGGAGTTATGTAACAATTTCTTTTTTCATTTTCTTTTTCCTTCCTTTTCAATATAATTTTCATTTGCTCCTATATTGACTATTATTATTATTATTGTTATTGTTGTTGTTGTTGTTGTTGTAATAACTGAGCCGATGTGTAACATTTATGCTTGACCACTGAAGGCAGCCAGTAGGCTGAAACGTGTCTGTTTCAGTGTCGCATAAGGTCCTTATTGTGAATATGGTTTGATTTTAATTCTTATTGAGGCTATATTTGGGCCTACAACTCTTTTTAAACCAATTTGTAATAAATACATGCATTTTTGTATAATTTGTATTAATTATATATTGATGCTTTATACTTATTGAAATTAACATAGGCTCCCCTCATTTGTAAATATAGACTGTGCATTAGAAGTAAGAATGAAAACCTCAGAAAGTGTGCAAGTTAGGACTGGGTGCAGTGACATTCCTTTGACTGTGTTACATTTACTACAGAGGAGATACAGTGAAGGCCAGGGCATTTATCTCTGCACATTGGGTTTGCAGGAGAACCTCATAAATACAAGCTAACCCTTTTGTCATTCCTGAAAATATTTTGAAGCCTAGTTCCAGGATTCCAGTGGCCTTGGGCAATATGATCCTGCTGCTGCATTATACAAGCAAACCTGTGATTCACAGAACTTTTCAATTTAGGGTGACCAATATGCAGCCTGTGCCCCCTTGGAACAAGACTCTAAAGATTCTAAATAGAACCCGTCCTCTGAATTCCAGCTATGCCAAGGAAACTTTTAGGCTTTACTTCATTTAAACATCCCCAGCCGGTTGCTGAGACACTGTTGTCAGCCTTAAAGAGCTGCTCTAGTATGATGCTGACGAACGGACTATCTGAAACTCAACCAGCTGGTAGATGCATATTGCTCAGGTGGGAAATTCTGTTTCAAGAGAGACTTGAGCCTCACTCTCCACAGCAGTTTTTATAGTGAAGCAGCAGCCATGCGCAGCTTGAGTTTAGTTCAGGGCTGCTGAACAGGGTGTGGGGAGATTTAACATTCCCTCCACCTGCAATTTCACAGGTCCAAATCGTCCTTGTGGGCTGGGCCTACCCTCTCTTTGCCTGTTGGGACAAGAAACACAAAGCACTTGTTATTCCCAACTGCATAATGCCTGAGAGGGCTAACATAATTCTTTAAGCCTTATCCTTCTCAAGACCAATTCATAAAACCTTGAAAACCTGACATGCAATTCCCCCCCCCCAAGTCCTGTATTCTCATAGTATCTTCAGCACTTCCAAGCTCAAGAAAGCATGCCACTGGTGATTGCTACTACTCCCCATTCACCTAAAGTTAGCCACCCTGGGGGCCCACGATACATTAAAAGAGTTACAGACACACCCTACTATCCACCCTCCAAACAAGATGCACCAGAAGTTCTCACTTCCAGTCATTTCAGTGGCATCTACAGACAAGTAGCCAGTGGTCTGTGCTCTTTCTAATGAGCACAGCTTGCGATATCATCCAACTTAAAAAATATATATATCACAAGTTTTCAGTTTTCCAAGTTTTACAGCACGATTCACCGGCTACATAATATTCAGTTGTTAGCATTCTCAGATTCCAAAAGTAATGAATTTTTTTAATATATATATATATATATATATTAAAGTATTAGCAGATAGTGAACAGCTTGTATTCCCAAGGGACAGAGGCTAGGATGGGGATGAAAGCTCCATGAAAAAAAAATGAAAGCTGCTAATCTGTTTTTCCAAGTGAAACATTTGAGGTGATTGCTCTAACCTGGGGCACAGTACATTTTCTCTATGGCATCGTTGTCACAGGAATCTTCAACCTCACTCCACCTGCTAAAATACGTTAGCTGAATGTGTCCTAAAAACAAAACGACAGGAGAAATCAAAACATTTTTCCCTTCCATTTTCTGCAGAAGTAAACTGTAATTACTCCTTTTGTAGCTAAAAACAGTATCATTAAGAATAATGGCATCATTAAGTACTAGAAGCTATTACTGGGGGTGAATTTGCTGCACTGATAATGAAGCTCTAGACAGGAAATGAAGATACTAATTACAAGATAAAACGCCTACTCAGTTAATTGGAAGCAACAGCGAATAAAAAGAAATGCATTTGCAGAAGTTCCTGACCTCGATCATTCAATAAGATGTTGTTTGGGTTCAAATCGCGGCACACAATTCCTTCTTGATGCAAAGCATCGAGGGCTACCACCATTTCAGCTGCCCATCTCTGAACACAGCCCTCGGGGAGGTAAAACTGGGAGGTTAGTGCTAATCTTTCATCGAGGTCCTGAAAAATTTGGTGGATCTCATTCTCGCCTCTGCCCCTCACACCCAACTCTTTGCTTTCTATTCTATTCAACAAAGCAGGGGCCGTTCCCTCGTGGCTCACGTCTTCAGTTTGATCAGAAAAGAGCAGCACGGCTTCCTTGTCCACATCAAAGGTCTGCTCCTCAGCACTGGCTTGCTTGTTAGAAATCAACAGACTTTCTTTTGTCCTACATGCCTCTAGTGATGAAAATGCTGCTCCGTGCCCTTCAAAAAGTGCCCCGTCCCCAGAGCCAGCTGGGTTACTTTCAGACATCTGAAATGCCCTGATAACTTCCCCAGTATCACTGCACTGTGCTTCTGGGCCTTCTTCCACCAAAGAGTTTACCTTTTGTTCAAGTCCTCTGCATGGGTCTGTACTATTATGTAATTGCAAGACATCAGGGGTTTCCAAAAGTTTACTTTCCAAAACTTCTCCATTTGGCTTGGTAAGGTTCACTGGCCCACCTGCTGTTGCTTCTGTCATTTGCTCAGTGATGCCCGGCAAGTTTACCAAAAGGTCAGGCCTCCCTTCATCAATGCTACTTACATCATCGAATGCAACATCCTTAAAAGAGATCACTGGCACAGAGTCATTGGAACCTCTGCTGATGTTATCCTGAGATGTAGGGACCAGTTTGTTTTCTGTGGCATCAAGACTCCTATCCCAACTAGGCATGGGGAAAAACTGCTTTAAAGATTCTGGTTTTAAGCTGTAGTGTTTATCTCCGAAGTCAAGACCCAGAAGTTCACTGGTGCTGTCTTTGCTGTCGATTCGGAAGAATTCCATGGGGCTATTCTTGGATTTACTCAGTGATTCTGATATCCTAGTAGGACTGGTTATTTCTGGCTCAGCATCATCAGCAAAAAGCTTTACTTCCTGAGATGTGAATGGGGATCCCAAGTTCCCACTGGCAACCACTTCCTGTTCTAGAAAGCCTCCTTGCTCTTTAGTAAGGAGATCATCGTCTGTTTTCATAGGCTCCTCGTTTAATGAACCAGGATCGACCTTTTCTTGACCATATTCATTGCATAACGTTAGATAACTTGTAGTACATTCTTCGTCTGAACTGGACCCAGAATCAATCCATTTGGGAGAACTTTCCTGGCCATCTTCCAGGTTACTACTACCATCTTGGGAACTTGGGGTGAGACTGGTCTTCAGCGGCACAACCTGCAGCATATTCCCTCCACTGCTTCCTCTGGAGTCAATGCTACTACCATTGTCTTGAGGACTAGGAGTTGCCTGATGCAAATGAATCTTGGTGGAGCTGGATCGTCTGGATTTAGCAGCATCAAAGCTTTCTTCAGGGCTCCTGTTCAAGAATTTACTGATGTAAGACCAGAGCTTGCCACCTACAACATAGAAAGGAAAATAAAATTAATTCTGTTTTGAGACCTCTCTCAAATATCCATGTATTCTGCGTTCTAAAAGTTAAGCTCAGAGCATCTCTGAGTTTGTTGTAATCAAGCGTAAGGATGGCAAAACAGAATGGTGAAGGAAGAGGGAATTGATCCCAGAGACCCAGTCTAAACTGTGACTCCCGACCCTGGTTGCTTTTTGATGTTAAAGAAAACAATGGGAAATCTGAGCACGGATCTCCCATGTGATGTGCACTCTGGCCCAAAGCCTATTCATCCCTTCTTTTCCCCTTTCCTTTCTCTCCTCCCTCTGCTTTTATATTTTAAATTCCCAGGAGCCAGGGGCCCTCATTTTGCTCTCCGCAGATGACACTATATTCATAAATCGTCATCATCTGAAATAAATGTTGATCTCTTGATCTCAGATGCTTTCTAATGGGATGTTGCTTAATCACTGCTCTCCCAGTTTAAGAAACATCAAACAAAAGCTTACAAAAGTAAACAGTGAGAAGCGGGGAAAGTTCTTTGTTCAATTTTGACATACATTTTGATGAAACCAATGGAAAACATTTGATTATGCCTTAATTTATGTATAAATATGTTGAGAATGGCATCAAAGGGGAAATATTTCAAGAGATGCTTTTTTAATAATTGTGTGCATTTAAAAAGAATCAACAATTTTATGCCTTTTTAAAAAATATGCCCAAACTAAGGTCATATAGGAGCAATAGTTTCTTCTGGGTATATAATTATGTCTTTATGAATGACACACTAATAATCTTTCCCATCTTGCAGTGTGATGGATAAGATCAAGTAAATGCATTAGCAAATGAAGCAAATACACTATTGGCCATCCATAACATGTAAAATTATACGGGGGGAGGGAAATCAATGGATGCAAAGGAGTTTCTGTAAGTTTGCAACTTTGCCTCCTATTGGCCAAGTACTAAAGCAATAGTGAACTATACTAGCATTGCATTAAGATAAATATGATATTTTTATGAGAGACTTGATCAGTTCATCTAAATTTTAATTCATTCTGGGACTCTTAATTCTGATGACTTTCCTGTGTATTTATGACTGAGGTGGAGAAGTTGAAGGGACAGCATGTAGCAAGAATCAGCTTGATGCCTCCTTATGGATCTGTGATGGTCAGAAGAAAGTCCTTACCCTCTGTCCTAGGAGCTCCTTTGCCTCACAGACATAACAGACTGCCGTTACTGAAAAGGATATGGTATGGAATTGTGAAGGTTACCTGGTTTATCTCCTACTAGCAGATGCTTCTGCACATCCCAGTTTTAATCAGTAGGTGGTACAAAACTGTGCTGTGTACCTGGTATAACTTAATGTCTTTTAAAAATGGGATGGCCTACACACATGGGTGCCAGATTTGGCCTAGAGACAAGGCATGTCAGGATCCCTTAGGGGTGGGGGGGTGCTGAGTTAGGTAGCATTGGTAGAAATCGGGCTGGGGGAGAAGAGATGCTAGCAGAATGTGGGCAAAGTTTTCTGTGAGCCAGGTCCTTATTTCAAAATAAATCCTAAAGAGGAAAGAAAAACCCAGCGGTATCAAAACTTTGGTAGCAGGACAGCTGACATTTTCTAAATATGTGCAAAGGAATATATAAAGTGAATGTGAAATACAGAGGAATGAAATACAAGGATGTGTGTCAAAAGAAAAATGATAGTAACAAATAAATTGGGTTGGATGTTTGTCTATCAAAGGACGTACTTCTCCAGCAATCTAAGATTCAGCAGAAAGGAGTCAGAAAGGGTAGCAGGTAAGGAGTTGAGGTATAAATCCCCACTCAACCACAAAGTTCACAAGGTGACTTTGACTATCTCTCAAGCTAACCTCACATGGTTGTTGTGAAGATAAAACAGAAGCGAACCATGAAATAGATAAAGAATCACTGCATGCAACCCACTGTAATTTGAAGTTTACCAAAGTTTTTAAGTTAAATTTTAAACGAAGTTTTTTTAAAATAAAAAAATAAAGACCATAATGGGACAAAGAAAGAAAGAGGCACTTGCTTTCTTCCCTGTTTAGTATTTATGTAGGGGGTGTGTTTCAGTGATCCAAATTCTTCACATACAAAATCTCAATTATCCTTACATTAGACCTGTAGGTAGGCCAGTATTCTCATCCAGAGCAATGTGAGAATGAAGGCTGAGAGACAGAACCTTGGAGAAAGTCACCTACGGAGTTTGTGACTAAAGTGAAATTGACTGAGGGACCTCCATTGTTAACAGCTCTCATTGTTCCACTCTGGACAACACCATTCAAATGTATACCTTTGCATCATCAAAATATGTACTGGCAAAAGAAAACACATAAAGAGGGCTCAGAGTGTTAGCATCTTTACCTTGTTTGGCTGAAAATATATAGGTAATAGGACAGTTGTACACATTGAAAGCATACTACTTTTAGAAAACTACAATGACCTTTGCTGTTTTAAGTATTTACGTCTGATAGGAAAAGTGATGGATGATTCATATAATACGTTAGCGTTAAAGAATCTACATAGCATTATGCGTTTTTATTTGATAAAAACGTATTTCTTATATTGATGGTTTTTATACACACCCATTAGTATTTTACAGTTGTCCCTAATGACTATCTTTATCAAAATGCATTAAGCTGTTAATGACTTTCATTCTGCAAGAATATACCTTATGAGTACCAGCTTGAGCCATGCCTCTCTTTTTGTGGTTTGCAACTGGTAGCACTACCCCCCCCATAATACCCTTCCCTTTATTTCCATTTAGACCTTTGAGGAATGCAATTTTTATTCCCATTTCAGAAGTAGGTAACTGAGGTTCACACACCCTGGTTACACACATGAAGCTGCCCCATACTGAATCAGACCCTTGGTCCATCAAAGTCACTACTGTCTACTCAGACTGACAGCAGCTCTCCAGGGTCTCAGGCAGAGGTCTTCCACATCACCGGCTACCTGTTCCTTTTAACTGAAGATGTCAGGTATTGAACCTGGGACCTTCTGCATGCCAAACAGATGCTCTACCACTGAGCCCATGGTTCCTCACCCAAATCAGGTGTCCATAACTCAAGCAAAGATTGGAGCCCAGTGATACCATGGCCTGCATTTCAGGTATGTGACATCAGGGACAATCCCTGGCCTTTGCTAAGGTTCACTTCATAAGCCCAGAGGCCTTTAGTATGACAAGGGGACACTGATGTCATCTCCGATCCTCATGCCAGAAGCCCTGGAGCATATACAACATGATGCTTAGCACACATTCACTCTGACAAACCGCTGCCCCATCTGTAGATCAAGATGGGGTTACACACTGAACAGTGTATGTACTGGTGTGAGGGACTCCTTGGCTTGAATCTCACAGCAAATTTCTACTACGAGAAAGGAGAGTTGATTTTTGCTGATTCCCCCTTCCACTGCAGACCTCTAATTCCCCCCCCCATCCCAGTGCTGTGTTCCTGGAGGTTCCCTGTCCCTCAAAAGCTACATTTTGGGGAGCATTTTGGGCTGCAGTGGGATGGAAGAGGTAAGGCCCATTCTGACTATGGCAATGCCAGCCTTACCACATTATCCAAGCCCTTGTCTGCAATCAGTTCATCTGGCCCTTAAAACCTTTGCCTGGAAAGAAATGAAATTTCTGCAGCACTGTCCTGTTAACAGCAAGCGTTTATTAACAGGAGACATATCTTCATTTTGAAGATTCTTGAGCACTTTCCAAATTGGTATGAACTCCAGATTGTTTATGCTTAGAAAGATTTGACACTTTCCAACAGACACTTAAACTTTGGTCGATGTCAAAGCCCTCCCCTTCTCCTCTTTCTACCCTGACTGTTTTCGAAGCATCTGTTTCTAACATTTCTGGCATTGATGCTGCTAAGGAGTAGTGAGGCCTCAGACTGGCTTTCTATCATATTACATCTTGCCAAGTGCTTTGTGACAAAGCTAACAGATACTTTATGGATGCTCTTGCCTTTAACAAGACATTTAATATATTGTGACCAAGAGGAAAACAGCTCTGCTAGATTGATATATGAGGTTCGTACATGACTGAGACCTTTCTCAGGGCAACACAAAATTCTCATTTAAAAGGATGCTTTGAATTCACTTTCCAGAATCTGACACAAGATTTAAAAACCTAATTAGATGAACTTTATTATATCCCAAATATACTATGTATGAGGAAGCTAGATAATAAAAATGTATACATTAGTGTTAAAATACAACAAAACATGAGCACCTCAAGGCCATGTACAATGTCTAAACCCAAGCCAAAGCAGCTCACCAAAAATCTGTTTGCTCAGTATAAGACACACAATTATGATCCATATTAACAAAGGAACAAACCAGCCTAAAAGCTCACCTGAATGCCTGATAAAAAGGGTGGCCTTACAGTGCCTCCAAAATTGCATTAGAGAAGATACCCTTTGCACCTCCTCTGCCAGGGTATTCTACAGAGTGGGTGCCACCACCAAAATGGCCATGAACTGTACTGAACTCAAATAAACCCTCATAAAGGAAGGCATGTTTAGTCGAAGGTATTGGGTCAGACCAAGACAGCAGGGTACTGGGTTGACCTAAAGTGGGGAGTGTTGATCCTTCAAATACGTGGGTCCCAGGTGAATGGAAACAGGAAACCAGTGCAACTGTTGTAAGATTGCTGTTCTTTATGAGTCAGCACTCGTCAAATGGCAGGCTGCTTCATTCTACATTAGTTGAAGTTTATGGGTGCTACTGAGTTCTGGATGTTGGGGACACAACAGGGGGCTCTACAGTGTGCTAAAGATGTCCAGTCAGGTGCTTACAGAACCACGGATCAACATAGGTAGCTCAGCAGTGCCCAAAGGGTGAAAAGTTTCCTAATTAAATACAGATGGGCAGAAGGCATTCCTAGCAACTACTCCAAACTTTTTCTCAAAAAATAAGGGTGAGGACCAGGAGCAAACTAACTTAATCTGATACGACCAGTTTGCGCACCCATCCCCGATCCGGCCCTTCCAATGATAACCCGCAGCAAAAAAGAACCACCTACCGAGGTGGTTCTACGTGCGGCATCAAGCCCAGCCGTGGGATCGCCGCGGTGTTCTTCTGCCGGCACATCCCCGGCTCCTGGCCGAACTGCGCATGCTCAGACATGCGCAGTTCGGTAGCCTCCCGTGGCTTCCTCCCCGGTCTCCTCGGCATCTGATCGTGCCGGGGAGCAATTGCACAGCGGCTCACGGGATCTGTATGATCCCGCCGACGCGTGCCTATTTTGGTGCGGCTTTTAAAAGCCGCACTTTGCCCGACCTTTTTGTCCCTCGTGTGGCAGGGACCTAAATTTACTTTGTACAGTGACCTATATGGGGCTGGCATAGAGTTTTTTGGTGCCCTAAGCAAACTATGACCTTGGCACTCCTCTGTTCCAGCATTCCATTTTCTATAGTGCCCAACCAGATGTTTCCAAGAAACTGATAAATATCACACAAAGGGTGCAGCTACCCCCACTATGAACCTCAAGCAAGTGGGAATTCATCTCCTCCTCCTCCTCCTCCTCCTCCTCCTCTGCAAGCTGGTCCAGAGCTAGAGTTTGAAGAGGTGCGCTGGGGGGAGCACTTGGTTGAGGAGATAGACAAAGATGGTGGTTGGAGGTGAAGAAGTTGGCGACAACCCACTGGCTGGGAAACAGTGGCCTATACGATGGGGACACCTTTTTCTATCTGCCTGAAATTTGAGAGGGAAGATCATTTGGCTCAGAGATACAAGTTTCAGCTCAACAGTGGAACTTTTCTTCTGCATGATCCACTACAAGATAAGCATGAACCTGTCCTTGAGCACACTTCTGCAGCATGAACTGGGCAAAGCTGCCAAGCAAATGTGCACTGATTTTTTGAGATTGTGGTAGTTGGAAAAAGTGCTACAGTGGTCCCAGAAATTACTGCCAGTTGTATCTGTGTGCCACTCGGATCGCACTATCCCAAGTATGACTACAGAGGTGCATACAGGGCCCAGAGAATCCTCAAACTGCTTGCAGGGAGGCAAAAGAGGGGGGTGGGGAGACTGAGTGATCCAGTCCTTACTCCAGCTTCCTCACTTCACTGGCAACAACCATCAGGCTGAGGGAAAGTTTTGTGTAATAGAACTTTAGAGTCCCGCTAAATACATTCTCCCTTGCTCTTTGTCTTTCTTGTTCTGTGGTCCCAACCCCATCAGAAATACATCAACTACTTCTCAAAATGCAAAGTGGAAGGTGCATAGCAAAGAGAGAATCTGAGACAAGGAAATGCTTCAAAATAGGGACTGTGTGTTTACGTGCTTTGCAGTTCAGCTCTAAAGAGCTACAATAATGCAGGCTTTAAAGACAGTCAATGTTAACATCTGGATGTCACTGACTGGAAGAAAAACCGACAGCCCCCCTCCTTCCCCTGCAACGTATCTGAATCCACAGACCAACCTTCCGCGTGGCGTAGCACAAGGAATACCGATTCCTCCGAGATGATGTACTTGTGCAGAGCCACCATGTTGGGCACGCAGCGGGGGATGATGGTCTTTCTCTTCCTGCTGTACTCACTACTTTTCCTTAGACCCTGACAGAGAACAAAAAGGTCAGTTGTACCCTCAGTTGCCTTTGGAGCCTGCTGTGCTCTGTGCTTATCAACCAAACTAATCTATCCGAGTTACTCTAGGCTTCAGAGAAACCACTCATCTGCTGCTCTATGCCCCTCACTCCCCCGAGGCCCTGCTGATGGCATCTGGCGCACATCCAGAGAACAGAAGATGGCACAAAGCTGCCATTAAAATCAATTACATGGGTCAATGTTTTCATTAGAATCTCTCACAAACCAAGTCATCAGGATGACACTCCGTTTTGTTTTCCTTGTGACCTTTTTTTTTAAAAAAAAAAATCTTTTGGGGGGTGCTGTGCTTTAAAGTCAACTGCTATAGTTAAACCCACTCAAATTCCAGAGGCAACCCCCAAATATTCCCATTTTATGGGTCTGTGTTAGGCACACATTTCCAACCAGATGAAAAGAAAACAAAGTGGGGGACATGGATTGTTTCCTGAAGAGGTTATGATTTGGGACACACCTAAAGTATGAGGGGAGCACTGCTGTGGTAAACACTCAGTTTGGTAACTGTGGTAAACTGCTGTGGTAAACACTCAGTGTGGTAAACACTTCTTTCCCTCCCTCCCCCCAAGAGCCAGTTTGGTGTGGTGGTTAAGTGCGCGGACTCTAATCTGGGAGAACCGGGTTTGATTCCCCACTCCTCCACTTGCACCTGCTGATGTGACCTTGGGTCAGTCACAAGCTCTGGCACAGCTGTCCTTGAAAAAGAGCAGTTTCTGTCAAGAGTTCTCTCAGCCCTACCTACCTCACAGGGTGTCTGTTGTGGGGAGGGGAAGGGAAAGGAGTTTGTAAGTTGCTCTGAGACACCTTTCGGTAGTGAAGGGCGGGGTATAAATCCAATCTCTTCTCTTCTTCAAATTAAACGTGTCTGAATTCTCTCAGGTTGTAGATATTAAGACTCTCATGGCTGCTGACAAAAACAGCAGCCCCGTGTCTCCTTCTCCCTCCTTATAGCATCTAATAAAACTAAACATGCAATTCCAATGTGATGTCCCTGCTCTGCAAGCTTCCCAGCCTTCCTCCACCTTGTGCAGACAGGGATATTTACAACAAGGTGAATTTAGGAGGTGCATCCTGCTTTACTAGATGTTATCAGGAGAGAAAGGAGGAGGAGAGGTGAGGCTGTTGTTTTTAGTGGCAGCTGTGCACTTCTCTTCATGTCTAGCCCCAGCAAACCACAATATTAGGCTACCAAATAACTCTTTTAAAAGGAAAGTTATTGTGCGTGGATGACTTTCAAAAGGGGGAATAAGACTCATATTGCTCTCTATAAATTGCCTCTGTCAGGCCTCCTCAGTGTGGTATGGCCAGTTTCCTATTAAGGAACAAGGGCTTTCTTGGCTGCTCCAAACTCAGTTTTTCCAGAGAGTGCTTAAACCAATGCCAGCACCTTGAATTGGGCCCAGAATGAAGCTGGGAGCCAATGTAGGTGGAACAAGACTAGAATGATGTGGTCCCTAGCTGAAGTTTCCAGACAGTCTTCAAGGGCAGCCCCACATAAAGTTCGTGGCAGTAAACTTACCTAAAAGTTACCCGGGCATGCACCACAGTGGAAAGATCCTTCCAGCCCAGGAAGGGCCCCAGCTAGCTCACCAGCCAAAACTGGTGAAAGGTGCTCCTGGCCACTACCACTACCTGTCTATATAACAAGAGACTCAGGTCCAACAGCAGTCCCAAGCTATGAATCTGCTCTTTTAGTGGGAGTGCACCCCAATCCAGAACGGGGACATACCAATTCCTGGATCAGATCTTCCCACCACCAGTTCACACCTTCATTTTGTTGGGGTGGAGGTTCCCTCCATCAGAAAGTCCTGAGAAACTTTGGCTGCAATTCTCCCGTTTTCTATCTAATAGTGAGGGGTAGGGGAAAATGTCACCTATACTTCCTATTGCATGGATAGATACAGTAAAAAGTAGGAACTTGTTGGCCAAATGTGCTGATTAAAATTCAGAGTTAGCAACATTATCCCATTTTCATAAACTCTGCTTGTTAACACATTGTAGTAGAATGAGGAGGGCTGAACTATGGAGGACAGTTGATAGTTTTGTTCTAGGGCAATGGGTTAAACAGAATGAGTGGCTTGCCTCTCCAATTTATACGCTGCTTCTGCCTTCTTTGGACAAACACAGCAATAACTCTTGAAAATATGACTGCATCAGCATGCCAAGTGATTTGAGAAAAATAATGATTTAACTTACCTTCAGTATAAATGTCTGCTGTGTTCTAGTGTCCATTACTAGCAATACCTAAATGAAACACATTTTTTTAAAAGGCATCCAATATATATGAAGAGCTTCAACTGATCAGCCATATGACTGCCCACTACAGACTACTGTCTCTTACAAATCCCCACTAAAATACACAGTACTTTAGTACATCTTTATGCAGACATTAGGGCCGCAGCATTTGGTTGATTAACCAGACATTAATACAACTCCAATTAATAAAGAAACAGGAGTCATTTTAGAGGGCACCTTACTGCCATCCGAGGTAATGCCACTTCTAAGATGTCGTTTGTTCTGACATGCTTATTTCTTGGAACCATTGCTTTATTCATATGCAACTGTATGTGGATTCCGTATTTATCAAGTCACATATTATTAACCAACTAATATATTTGGTTAAGTGACCACCTTAAGAGAAATACCATTTCAAAATTACAATATGAACATATCCTTAGGGTCTGCTTCACAAACAGCCCCGGAATGCAGATTGTACATGCAGAAAGAACAGAAGCTCCAGGTTCTCACATCCTTCACTTCAACCTACAGAACACCACGCAAATGCCAATGTGAGATCATGCAAGATGTCTTCCACCTAAACGGGATGGATGGCTCAATGTGGGCAGAGTCCTCAAATCTGTCTTCCGCCATTGTTGCTTACATTGGAATCAGTGTGACGTTTACAAAACCAGCTCCATACTTTGAGCATAGGGCTTTTGGCTCTCTAAGCCACCCACTAGCCTGGCACTGCCCACACACACACTGCTGGCTGGGCACCACTCTGCCCTGCTAGTCTGGAAGCATGTGGACACAGGTGGGCAAAGAGCTACCACCACCACCCTGACAGCTGGGGGGACATGAAGCCTGGCAACACTGGAAGAGCTGTGGGAACCAGTTTGGTGTAGTGGTTTAGAGCACGGACTCTAATCTGGGAGAACTGGGTTTGATTCCCCACTCTTCCACATGTAGCTGCTGGTGTGAATTTGGGTCAGTCATAAGTTCTTTCAGAGTTGTTCTCTCAAGGGCAGTTCTTGAGAGAGCTCTCTCAGTCCCACCTACCTCACAGGGTGTCTGTTGTGGGGAGGGGAAGGGAAAGGAGATTCTAAAGCTGCTCTGACACTCCTTTGGGTAGTGAAGGGCGGGGTATAAATACAATTTCTTCTTCTTCACTCCCTCCTTCACAGGGGAGGGGAGGAGGAAGGCAGGCCAGCCAACAGGACGAGTCTCTGGACCCCAAGCTGCAGCCCAGGCATGCACAGCCCCAAGCAGGCACGGTGCTGCCTGCCCCCTCACCATGAGCCGGGTGGGTGCGCAGACTGGTAGTGGCAGCAGAGGAGGAGCCGACTGTCACCTGCTCTTCCCTTTCTCCACCCTTCATGAGGCAGGGTGGGGAACAGGGTCAGAGAAGGTAGGCTGGGCAAGCAAGCCCTGGCTACCAGCACCACTGCCTCTGCCTATCATTCAGCACTTTGGCTGCAGGCGAGACTCTTCTGGCTCCTGTGGCACCTCTTCCCCGCCTTCTAGCACCCTAGGCAATCTCCCACCCAACGCGTGGGATGGCTCTGTCTGAGTAACTTGTAGGTGGGTCAATCAACACTAAAAGAGACACCTGGAACCAAAATGTGCTAATGGAGTATATGTATCAGCTTCTATGCACCAGCACAAAACTATTTTGACTGTTGGCTCAGCCTAGGAAAGTGTTGAGAGCCCCCTTTAACTTAAAACAACTGAAATGGCACTTGAGACATTTTGAAATTCCAAATTAACAAAACATAGAGGGGAAAGGTCAGGTGGAATCAGGGGTAAAATTTCTGAGGTAACTCAATATAGAACTCTAATGTAAATCAGTATATGTTAAAGACTTTACATTTCAGGCTATTGAGAGTTTCATAACGTTTTCACAGTGACTTGGGATCTTTAAGATGATATGCTTTTGTTTCAGTGTTTTCCAGACACTCCAGTACACTTTCTTTGAGTATTCACTGACTCTTTTGGTTTCCAGAAGGTTGGGACACTCTGTCCAGTACCCAAACCCCTTCTCTTGAAATACCAGTACTCTTCTTGAGTTTTATCTCTTAGGGTTTCACAAGGCAGTTTCTAACTACACCAGACCAGGGACCTCTCCACTCTTTGGAGTTATCGCCCTGTTTTGACTGGGTAGGGAAAGTCTTCTCTCACTAGATCTATTCCCTTTTCTTGGCCCAAATGGGAGTAATCTCCTAACTATCCACAACTCTTGTCAACTTTCCCAGTACTCAGTCTGTGTTAAACTGCTCTCAGCCAAACTGAATTCAGAATGAATTCCCCTCAGCATCCAGTTCAGAAGGCATTCTCAGCTCAACTGAGGCTAACCAATCAGATCTCCTGGAGCAGCCTATCACTCAAGGCTCTCTGACCTTGTGAAGAATTAACCCTTCACAGTCCTTTACCTGTTCGTATACCACATCTAATTTTTAAAAAGTGCAGTCCATCATACAGCTTCCTTAATTATCAGCGGCAATGATTCATTATTCCAAGTATAAAATTGCAATAGTTTGAATTTTAAATTTTGCTAGAAAAAGTCCATCTCCATATACACAGTGTATTGATTTGAGGGGCTGGGGGGGGAAACTTACTTGGGCCCAAGCACTGATTTTATGTTGCTACATTGGTAAATTTTCTATCAAAATTTTACACGACTGCAAATCAGGGCTATTTAAAAACAGAATAGAAACTGATGGGATAAATCATGGCAGGAAAATTGAGTTTTGCTGTCCCTGTTTGCCTGGGGAGTGGGGCAGATACACCAAATTAGAACAGATAAAAATGGTTAGAAAGTGATGCATCAGTTTTCAAGGGACTTTGTCTTTTCAACCAAGTTTGTTTGCAGCTCACTAACATTCACATTGAGGCAGTAAATACAAGAACATATGCGATTTTTTTTAATGTGCCCTTTGACTGTCAATTTCTCCCAAACAGGTGTTGGTTAAATGATTATAAATTGGCCCCTGGATACACCTCTTCAACTGAGCCGTACAGGACTGGAGATAATATAATTAGAGTAAAAACATCAGGCTGGTGAATGCTTTCCATCTGTTTGGCAATAATGTTTAGTTAACAATAGTCTTTAAAAAGAAGCACCTTCAACTTCCCTTCTTCAAGTTATTTATAGGGCCATTCTTAACACCCGAGCACTCTTGCTAACAAGAGCTTTAGCCACTTGGAAATTATTAGCCATACGGCTAATTCCAAAAAAAGAAACGTCTGTGCACAACATCTGCAGCTCTCCAAATTTACATGCAGCAACCTCATTTTAGAGTCATTTCTTAATGAATGGGCCTACAACTCTGTATTAATATTATCATTGCATGCGCAAAGATCATAAGGAGCCAAGCATTTTAAAAAAATACCAACACTAGGCTAATCGGCAATGAAGCTCTCAGCATAAAGGACAGACTAAATAGCTTCTTTAACCCTCAAGAGGGCTAGTTCATTTGTAGACAAGAAGACACCAATTTAACAATACTGCTCATGGCTCTGCTCACCTTTCTAAAGACAAAAATCTAATTTGGACTAATTTGGTATGATTGTCTTCCCAATCAAAAGCACCCCAAACAGACTTTCATTTCAGGATAAAACAATTGCTGTAACCAAACCCCCATGAAATAATTACCTCTGATAGAATATCATTATTGAACGAACACAATTAACAGTACTGTTCCTTCATTTCCTTGTATTTGCTTATCTACATCTATGTAGTATGTATCTAACGTATTTCACACTGTTGAATCAGGAGCAGCTAAAATATCATCTATAGGTGACCACCAGCCCCCCTTTCCTCCACTCTCCACAAATCAACACAAATGACCTTCAGTGCAGGCCACACATCCCATTCTGAGGGACCGCCTTTCCCCATATATACCCCAGAGAGCACTGAGGTCAGGGTCCCAAAACCGACTGACCGTTCCGGGCCCCAAGGATGCCAGGCTCGCCACCACTAGGACCAGGGCTTTTCTCGGTGGCAGCTCCATACTGGTGGAATGAGCTCCCGGAGGAGATCAGGGCCCTGCGGGCTCTTGTGCAGTTCCGCAGGGCCTGCAAGACGGAGCTCTTCCACCAGGCTTTCAACTAGGAGCCGCCCACACTACTACCAACGAGCCGGCCCGTAGTTTTAACATCTGGCCTCCATCACTGTGCTCAGGAAGATCACTGAGTGGCAAACTGTTTGGTTGTATGGTATTTCCAGCTTGCCATCTTATGTACACAATGTATCAGCACTCGCACTTTATGAGTTTATGTTTTACTGTATTTGAAATTTTAAACTGTTTTTATGTGAATTAATGGTCATCATAGACCAATTATGTAAGCTGCCCTGAGCCTGCTCGTGGGGAGGGCGGGGTATAAATTAAATTAATAAAATAAAAAAATTAAAATCTGCAGAGGTTTGACAATGTGTGGCTGGAACCTGTTGACCACAGTCAAGCAAAATAGGATGTCCTGGCCACAAATTGCAAATAGCAGAATGGTAGAATCACGCATGTACCTAACAACTGAGGACACTGTTCATCCTGGCCTTGTTTTATCAGCTTGAGGCTCAGTGAGAAAGGTAGACTACAAATGAAATAAATAAATGCAATACAACTAATGAGCAAACTGAGAAAAGTCCACACCATTTCCCCAAAAGTAAAGGATTCTGTTTTCCACAGCGGCCACCCAGATGCCCTTGGGAAGCCTGCAAACAGGCTCTGGTCCCGGCCTGGTGGAATTCCTTGACAAGTGAGATCAGGGCCCTGCAGGACTTATTACAGTTCCGCAGGGCCTGCAAGACAGAGTTGTTCCACTAGGACTTCGGGTGAGGCAGTGGGTGTCCAGTTATATCGGCCTCCTCTGCTCCACCCATCCCTTTCATTCCATCTTCATGGTGCTTAGCTCCAGTGTTCCCTCTAAGCTGAGTTAATGTGAGCTAGCTCACAGTTTTTTTAGCCTCTGGCTCACACATTTTTGTCTTAGCTCAGGAAGGATGGCTGCAGAGCAAACTAATTTAT